ATATAGTTCATATTGTCCACGTGAGAGAATATAGAAGACACTAATAATTGTCTAAAATGAAGTAATTAATTGGACAATAAAAACTCTATAAGAATGTTTTAATTAATACACCTAAAATAAATACTCTGTATATATTTTCTAGAAAGAAACAAAATAGCCCAAACATTATTTATGTAATTATGTCTTCTTTAAAAGTCTCTGTTATGTTATGTATGTCCGGTATATTCATATGAGTATTGCAACAACTTTAATTGCTAAATCTAAATAATTCATATCATGTCCAAATATACAAAGTTTCCTTATATATTCTGCAAAATTATGTAGAAAATACGGCAATTTCATCAATTTAAGTTGCTAAGACTTAAACAATTTGCCCATATAAGTAGCAACACAAGAGTTCAATTCACCCCATCAAACTTATACTTCATCCTTTCTTAAATAAGTGCAACAGTCCACTTTTTACGTGTGTTGATGCACGCCTTTATTGACCATTAATATATATAATTCTCCATTAAAATTAATAATTAGATTTTGAAAATTTACAATTTGCCGAATTTAACAATATTTTTTAAAAATAGTTTATTAATATATTAATAAGTAAAATGTAATCAAAGTAGAACATGTGAGTATTGTAAAATTCAACATGTTGCACTTATTTAAGAACGAGAGAAGTACACAGTTAGCATGAGTCATTTATTTTTCGTTTTTTATTTGCCAAAATTCAGACCACTTTTAGAAGAACGACATTCTTATGTTATCGAGAATTTGTTGGTTGCTGTGAATGACTCACTTTTTTGGGAATAACTAAATGTGAAACCCACGATTGAATAATGTACATATGTATTATTTTCATTTTGCATGCTTTAATGATATTTTGGGTGAAAAATATGAGGATCATTTTTGGGTTAAGTCATGAACATATAATACATTACCACATTATGTTTAAACAAAGCTCCAACAATTGTATTTATATTTCGTTACATTTTTTTAGATGTAATCGCACATATTATTGGGGAGGAGGATTCGAAGGAGTTAGGGAGTAATGGACAAAAGACAAAACTCATGGAGATTCTTTTGGAAGATCTGAAGTGTGTTTCAATTAATAATACAGAATTAATCAAGATTGAATACAATTATCTTTATCTTTACACAGAGAGAGAGAGAGAGAAATCTTCTCCTCAGGTTGTTCTGACCAAAACTTTCATCCGACCACTTCTATTTAAGCTGCTTCTAGGTAGAATATTTTGAAGTAAGTTTTGTGAGCATGATTTTCATGAAGTGTAAATTATGTCTACAAAAGTGCACCTTAAATTTCAATTAGGAAATCAATTAAATAAATTATTGAAAAATACTGCATTTTTTAAAATATTTTGGCGCAATGTTTTTCAATAATTTATTTAAACGACTTCCCTATTGAATTTCAAGTTTGCTAATATATTATGTTTATATAATACCCACAAAAACTCTATATTTGGGCACATGTATCATATAATATACACTTACTTGGGCGTAGGCAGCATGGCGATATATTGGGGTGGGTTGTTAAGAAGTTTTTTTGTAATTTCTTTACACAATTTTTTTAACATGATGGTTTAATTCAAATTTTAAATTTGAGGTGGATCGGGGCCCCTAGGTTGCCCCTAGCTACGGCACAAGTATACATATACATGATTTAATAAAAAAATTATTTCATGTGATCAAAAGTACTACTTCCGTCCCACTAAGATTGAGACAAAAAAATGTGGCACGATTATTAAGAAAAGTGAGTTTGTGTGATTGATATTAAATTGATAAAGTAAGAATAAAGTAAAAATGAATTAGAGCCACACAAGCTTTACCAAATTTGGTATGGGACAATCTTATTGTGATTTCCCGACCAGGTAAAATGAGACAATCTTAGCGAGATGGATGGAGTATTATATATGTAAATTCATAAACAATACAATATTCCATTAGATAAATATGCATCATATTAAACTTTTGTATTTATAAGTGTTACATGTGTTGTTTCAAAGCTAACCGGTAGGTTAGCTTTGAGCAGATGCGACGGATCGAACTCGACAATATCTAAATAGGGAGCACATAGGTTTGGTGCACAATTTAGAAGATGGAAATATTAGAAATGTCAGGATGTCATTATTAATATATCCGATGATATGCCTATTATCAATTTAGAAGTTTCATGAGTGCCAATGGAAACACCTAAATTGTACCGATTTAATTGTCACATAGAGCTCACTCTTATACCTTATAATTCTTTTTTTATTTTACTTCAAATTTTCATATTATCGACATTTTCATTTTCCTTACAAATTGTCATTTAATAATCAAAGTTGCAAGGTATAAAATCTACATTCCTTTTTCTATTTAAGAAAATTACATTACATAGAATCATAATAAAAGAAAATTTAAAAAACTGTTATTCTTTCTAGATGTACCCGTGCATCGCACGGGTATTTCATGTAGTTACATATAAACAGAATAGTTCATGCTTCCCAAATTATGATAAACAACAAATACATTTTCCAAACAAAATTTGAGCACCACAAAGGCACAAAATAACAAGCATTATGAAGCAGTAGTTTGACTAGTTTCCAGATTCCAAACAAGCATCAAGTGTTCCAAAACAACTTCTAAACAACTACCTAATAAGCTGTCAAATTTCACAAATAGTGGAACTATTAATAGAACAAGTATAAGTCCTCCAACTCCCAAGGCCAAAAGAAAGAGTAGCGGTGACAAGTATACGTCAGCCCCGTCAAGCAATGCTTTCGCCCTGTCCAAGGTTGGGTTTTATGAAACCTCCCCCCTTTTTCATAAAAGGAGAGGAGCGTTTAAGCCCTTTTTCTGTTACTCAATCCACCATATTTAGTTCTATCATCACCATCATCACCGTCATCTATTGCAGCAATATCCACCCCAATGCCTGCTTGAAAATTTGACAAATCCAAGCCCATGGCAGTCTCTTCTCCCCAAACATCTGCACATTGAACTCCTAAAACAGTAAGTAAGAAGAGATGAAAGTTTGTGCATCATCAATGTTTACTTATACAATCTTTTCCCAAGTAAGATATAAGAATATAACCTACTAACCTCCATTTTGGTTGTTTGGTGTTGGTCCATCATTGAGCATGGCCTCAACCTCATCATAATCTAACTCTACAGGAGGTTCATTTTCTACTACCCAGAACTCCACTTTAACTATACATTCATAATCTATGGTATCGTAATCTCTTCTTTTGTTGTGCAGCCTATATATATATATGTATATATATATATGTATATATATATATAGTATAATCAAAATATATACGACTTCCATGTCAATAAAAAATGTGAAGAAATGAGCATGTATACAGAATCAATAACACATAAAACAACCTGTTTTTTAAACGCAGGTTACAGTGCACATAAACAGGATCATCCAGCCTTTCATTTTCCAAACTATTCCTCTTAGATGTTTCACAGGGCCTCTTCTTGGTGTGAATCCTCTCAAAGAGGCTAACAAGGTGTTTTTTTCTCCAATTATAAAAAGAAAAAAACACCTTGCAGCTTATATTATGTGTGTGTGTGTGTGTATATATATATATATATATATATATATATATATATATATATATATATATATATATAGAGAGAGAGAGAGAGAGAGAGAGAGAGAGATAACTTATCCTGTCCAAATGTTTATGATATGTTCTTCATCAAGTTTAGTTTATGCGCCAAATTATACATAAAAAACGCAGTCAACTTCAAAAAAATTATTTGAAGGCCTTCCCGATCGAATTTTGAGGTGAATTTTTGTGTGGATAAATTAGTCTTGATGAAGAACATACCATAAAAATTACATCTAAAAATTCAACCTGGACCACCCTGAACGGCGGTGTTCAGATGGAGGCCCAGGTCCGAATGTTCAGACCTGATCAGTTGTGTGTGTGTGTGCCCCCTGTGGGTGTGACCCACTTCAAGACTTATTGTGTTGATCTTATCTGCTTCTTTGTTTGGTATTTGAAACTTGAACTCTTCTTCGAGAGCTAAAACAATTCGCACGACGTCTACTCTTCCACGGTCAGTGACTTTCGATTTATCAAGGATGGAGGCTCTGGCTAACTCACCGAAATGACGGCTCGATCTGATCAGCCAGCCAATGGGGATCTAGGGTTAGGGATTGAGGCGTTATTAATGTAGAGCAAAGGATTCAAGTTTCAGGTGCTTTAGCAGCACATTTCCATCGAACCAAACGCGAGCGAAGACCGAGGGAGACTAAACATGGAAAGGAACAAATTGCACTTGCCGCTAGAAGGAATTTCGGATGGGAGGACAACTAGTAGAAAGAATGAAAAGGAAAGAGAAAACCAAAAGAAAGAGAAAACAAAAAGAAAAGAAAGAAAAAAAGTCAAATCTATCTTTAACCGGCTTTTATTAGGCTTTTATTTTGTTTTATTTTATTTTATTTTGATTCCTATTTTATTTTCTAATCGAGTTTTTCCTGTAAAGTTAAATTATTAGGCTTTTATTATTTATGTAATTAATTCCGTTTTTGACCTCATAGCAGATTTTTGCACATTTATTTGTCTATTTAAAAAGTTGAATAATAAATGCAACTTTTATTAATTTATCTATAAGGAGCGACACTATTTTGCTTGAAACTCTCCTATCTGGAGACGTATATTTGAGCGGCTAGCCGTAGACGGACATGAGTTGCACCCCTAGACAAAATTGACTTACGCTAATCGAGAGCAGAGATTTCACTCAGAGTCTATTTGTGAAATAAAAAGTGTGACTAATATATTTTTGAAAAATGTTTTTTTTTGAACTGTATTTTTGAAAAATGTTTGAAATGTGAAAAAAATGATACTCTATATTATTTTAACTTTTAAGCCTGTTTGTGAAGTTTTCCTCTATAACTAACTTACTGTAGATGAAGATGTGGCCCAACAACCCAAAGAACCCCAGGTCCAACTTAGTATTACATAGCTGCAGCCCAGCAGGTCCAAGATGAGGAAGAGAAACAAGTCCAGCACGGAAGAGCAGCGGGAGTGTGCGTCTGAGCTCTTTTGCCGCCATCTAGCCACCGCGCTCCGCCTCCAGATCCAGGAGTCCAGCCGACCAGGCCCTCTTCGCCTCCGCATCTCGCTGGCGCTCACTCTCTGCGGCTAGCCAGCCGTCCCAAGCCGTCGGTCCCTCTGCGCTCGCCGGCTCTGCTAGTCTTCCCCTCACGGTGTCACTGCCTCGTTATTCGTGATTCGGTAACTCAGTATTCCGTATTCCGTAACCAATTTTCTGTATTTTCTCTTTTAATTGCTATTTAGGTTGTTATTTATTTATTGAAGTTATTAACTTATTCAATTGATTATAATTGTATTTAGCGATTAACAATTGGGGAGGATTCACATGATTACAATTAAAAATTGGGATGGATTCAATTGATTACAATTGTATAAGCTAGTTAGGTTATTAATTATAGTCTGGCATGGTTTCACCCAAAGTCTAAACTGAATTTTAATTTAAAATTTGTAAACGCATGATTAGGAGGGGAATTCAATAATTGGTAGTAATTATGTTTAGAAAGAAATATCTATCTTTATCTTGGTATGACAAGCTTTAAAAGAAAAGAAGATTGGAAAGTTAACCTTGTCTCAAAAAAGGAGCTCACACAAATTCACTACTACGTACTCCGTATTTAATAAGCTTCTTAGATGATCTAAAAAAGAAGCTCTTGATAAATTCGTCACAAGAGAGTCTCAATGGATTGACGATATCAATAGAGTTTGAAACACTCTTAGAGATTGACATTGAAATTTCGGTAGATGACTCTGCAGTTAAATAGGCTCGAAGAATGTCTATTTTTAAATGAAATGTATTTTCTTGATGAATACTTCTATATTTATTATTATGTTCATTAGCAACTTATATTTTAACACACGGTCCCCATTTTCTCAGCATCCGGCCTGGTTCAGAGTGTTAGAAACTTTCCCCGTATTAAAGAAGGGAGGTGCTTGCTGAAAAAATATGGCAACGTTGAAGGAGATCTTGACTCGGCGTCCCCTGGCAGCGACAATCCGACTAAGGGTTGACGCCGGTGCTGCAAAGCCCGGACCGCCAGTAGGCCCCGCTTTAGGTCAATACAAGCTGAACTCCATGGCTTTCTGCAAGGATTTCAATGCCCGTACGCAGAAATACAAGCCTGGAACGCCTATGTCCGTCACGATAACGGCTTTCAAGGACGGAACCTTCGAATTCACGTTGAAATCTCCGTCAGTCACTTGGTACCTGAAGCAGGCGGCCGGGGTGGAGAGCGGCAGCAGCCGCCCTGGTCACGTGACCGCCTCTACGATAACCCTAAAGCATGTATATGAAATTGCAAAGGTCAAACAAAGTGATCCCTTTTGCCAGTATATGTCTCTGGAGTCCATTTCTAAGTCTATTATCGGCACTGCAAACTCAATGGGGATCAAGGTCCAGAAAGAGCTCGATTAAGGTCCGTTCTGTGTACTTACTTTGCTGATATCGCACATCTAAAAGGAGTAACATCAAAGTCTATTTCAACCAAATCAATTCAAAAGACACCTATGCTGTTTAGAGGAGATTAGGTCTACCACCAAATGGAGCCTTAGTTTTTCATGTCTTTATTAGGCAGTGTTCATTTCCTAAATGAAAACAAAAGAGTGAGATTAGTCAGTGATTATTTCTGGTTGTTTTGTTTTCCAGGTGCACTGGTTGGTGCTCAATAATGGAATATTGACTTGTGTGTTTGTAGTTATTAATATGTATGGATTTCTTACGCCTATGCAGCTATTTTACACACAGTTTTCAACTTGAATGCTGTATTTCTGTATTTTCCCAGGGAATGATCTCTTTTCTTATGTAGTATACATGTGTGTCATTAGTTCATCTATTGTGTTCTGTAATTGATTCTTGATATATCAGCGTTGTATCCTGCTCCACGATGCTTTGCATTTTGGTCCATTAGATCGGGTCGTGGATCTACCCTATTGGATAGCATAGACCATATCTTTTTGGTATGCAAGTCATTGTTAGGCTGTTATAAACGAGTACATTGTTTATAAATATTGGGTTTGTTTTATAACTTTCAATGGATTTGATGGATTATGTTGGTATATGCCTATGCTGAAATAAATATTGGGTTTGTTGTGTAGGTTGGGGTATTAGGATTACCCTCCGTTGTTAATAAATTAATCTTGTAGAGTTTCATTACTAATCTGAAACTAATTTCCAGTAGTTTGCTTGTCACCACTTCCCTAAATTATTAAACTAATTTCTTTAGAAATAGAAAAACAGAAAATTTACTTGTCACAATTATGAAAAAGAAAGAACATGTTTAATTTACTAGCTCCCAAATCAAGAAAACATAAGATGCTTAAAATGAATAACCATGGAGGCTAATTTGTGGGATTTCTCCTTGGCTGGTTCAGTAAGTCGCTAATTAGTGTCAGCAACACCATATGAGTTTAGTTGGAATCAGGCCGGGTCCGGGTCCGGGTTGGGCCTAGGCCCGGGTGGGCCGTCGGTTCAGAAAAGTTGGGCCTGGGACCGGCCTGGGTAGCCATCGGGTCCGGGCCGGTTCCGGGTCGGGCCACCCGGTCCGAGTCCACACCTATATGAGTTCAAACTTGCTGGATATATTGATTTATTGATAACTGATAAGTAAGCTATGATATTTTCGTGATTTGTGCTCATAATTCGGGACTCGATTACTTAGTGGTGACTCATTGTGCGCAAAGGTACTGAAACGGGTCGCTCGGACCCACTCCATCCCTAGTTTGGGACTTTCGAATCAGAACTACAACCGGTCCGAGTCCAACCCTATAGTCTTAAACACCACCATTCAACTATTCTAACTATGCCCAAGAACCACAAAATAGTACCGTACACCCATTTGGGAGAACTACCACCATCTCCCCCACTCCCAATCTTCTACAAACCATGATTACCATTTGTCATTTCAAGTTCCGTAGCTTTACTCATTTGCTCATGTAATCCTATAATCAATAAATGTACATATATTAAGGACTTTTTAATAAGAATAACCTATTTTTGATGGAAAATTTGACGCCACTGACTTTAGAGTCTATTTTCTTAATGAAAAATTTAATGTGGATAAACTTATTAGATATGTACTTATGTAACTGAATTTGCAATCGCAGTTGTATTGGATTTCAGGTATTAGCGAACCATTGTCCATGTGACTATGAACAGAAGAGACTGGTATAGTTTCGGTGTTTTTTAATTCTCTGGTCCAACTAGTATGGAATCATAACTACAACCGACCCGAAACCACCTTAACACCACCATCCAGCCCTATCACATGGATAGTGTTATAATCAAATATCCTAACTATCCACAACATAGTATCCTACGGACCTACACCCATTGGTACTCCCGAACATGCGTCCTTATATGAATCTGTTTGTGTCCCCAGGGTTTGCCGTGTCTATTTTTGGGCCTAGCGGTGAGATAATTTTTTGAGCTTATATTCAAGACAAACAATAAACTAACTTATTTAAAATAATAATTATAACAATAAAATTACCGTTAATATTTAAAATACATATTTGGTGAAAAGTAACAAGACAAGTATCCCATAAAAAAACATCAGGTAAAAATCTTTGTCGTGGAACATTGTGAAGCAAAATCATCAATAATTGCTTCATAATCAACTTTTTCCAATATCTCATGCTCAATGCTTAAAATTGCTAACTCATTAAGTCTTTCTTAAGACATAGTCGGTCTCAAATAATTCATCAGAATCTTCAACTTTGAAAAATATTACTTAAAAACATTTCTCGCGGAATTTCAAGATTCAATTTAATAACAAAAACAAATTTTTCGATTGACCTCTTCTAACTTAAGTCTGCCTTTTATAATCTTCTCTTCTTTGTCTCTTTATTCCAACCTGATGCACCCATTTTATCAAGATTAGTTTATTGGTCATTATTGGATCGTTTGAAGCCTCGAAAAAAAAGTTTTTTGGTCACTAACTGCCCTTTGACCTCCTCGATTGATTGACTTCTTAACAAACCGGTGAGGCACTATTAAAAAAATATACTCAGTAACATTTACTTCAACAATTCAACAAACAATATTGCATGTTACCCACATGTTAATCATATGTATCACTATAAAAGCAAGTTGATTCTTGCCTGTCTTACGAAGTAGTCAAGCAGGATCGTGCCTTGGTGAAAGTTTTATATTTGAGAATTGAGATCTACTTTTATATAAGGTTATAAATATTGGAATTGTGGAACTCTCAATTCACAATTAATCAAAGTTTATGCTTTATACTCGTGCAAAAAACTGAAAGTGTAAAATTTTTCACTTTAATAGACTCAAATCTCAATAGCAACTTTTACTTTTTCAACAACGTTATTAATAATTATGTCAAGTTAAAGTGGTACACATAAAATGGAACAAAACTAATAGTCTAGTACTACGTATAAGCGTCATTATATAAAGCTCGGCTCATGCCCAATTTTATGTAAGACCGGCATTGTGTGTGAGTTATATCTTCATATAATCTCTATATAATTGCAACTTTGCAAGTATATCCGTTTCCGTTTTATCACTCCTGTCATCTTGTGTTTAGTTGTTTTAAAAGTAACGAGGAATTAAAACAAATGAGGGATACATTTATTCATAAAGAAGACATAACAATGCTGATTTTGGTTTAAAAAATCAGGCAAGTTACTTTTGACAAATCAAAGGTGATTTGGGAGAAAAAAATCAACACAGGATGCCAATTTGGTTGATTCGAAACCTAATGTGATGAAATATTATTTTGTTGACTCCAAAGGCATCTAGTGCGGAAGAAATTTTGATTTTATAATTATTATCGTTATATCTTTATTGCAAAGTGTTGCAATGATTATTTCTCCTCCTAATAAAAGAATGGAAGATCCAATCAAGTTTACAGTACTTGATAATGACCAGATAAACGAAATTAATCGTGTTTTTTTCTAGCAAAGGTAATGTTTCTGTTATTGCCTTGTCGCCCGGTCTTTTTTTGTACGCAATCTAAACCATCTAGTTCATAACCACTCTGATCTGCGACGACCAAAATGCTAACACCAAATTTAAAGTAATCATTTAGTGATACCTAATAAATTAATAATAATAATAATAATAATATTAATAGTAGTAGTAGTAATAATAATAATAATAACAACAACAATAATAATAATAATAATAATAATAATGAACAATAGTGAATTAAAAATAAACTGCATTTTCAATCCAACATTTAATTTGTTCCCCATAACCAAAACCATTAATTATGCATCTTTAGCTCAAAAGAATTGTTTAAAATGCGGTATAGCCTCATGCCCTCATCTGAAAGAAAAATAAAGTAGGGAGTATAAATATAATTTCAGAATAAATATCAATGACTTCGAAATGGGGCGACTAACATTTCAAAACATAAGAGTAGATATAATGTGAAACTACAAAGGATGAGTATTATATTACTCTAAATAGGAGAAATTATTGACATCCAAAAATCATGAAGTATTGCATATTTTGACATTATTAGATATGTATTGACATTATTGACCGTCTAGTTAGTTAAATACGGTACGGGAATTAAACGAGGTTTAATACGTACGCGTTTTATTCGATAACATTAATGAAATAACGGTCAAAAATTTGTTCACAAAACGTTGGCTTTTAAAAAACGTGTAAATACGTAAACGTGTATCATACGATATCTGTTACAGAAATTTGGACAAAAAATACGGGTACTATTTTGAACATTTAAATTATATACTTCACAAAATAACATATATAGTAAAAAGAAATAAAAGTATACACATATTCAAGTAGTAAATCTCATTACTACATAAAAAAATAATTTGTAATTGCATAAGTCGATGACAGAAATAAATATAGTAATTAAGTCAAAGACATTATTTTGTAAACTAATGTCAACAAATAAGACATAAACTAATGTCAACAAAAAATGATTTTCTTTATATGATCATCAAATAACACTCAATTAAATTCATCATTTTCATCAATATGACAGATGTCATATTCGACTGCTACGCGCGCTTCTTATTGTTTATGTGTAAAAGTTTATACTAAAAAAATGTCAGGTTTGAAAAAACTTTAATTTTGACATGCTTGTTTAGAAAAACATCAGGAGTATTTTGTAGTATTTTAAGTTTTAGTCTTTAAGAATGCTAGCTTTAGCCGCCATGCAATTAATTTTAATATTTAATAATTGTATTTTTTGCAATACAAAAACATGGGATCACATGGAGGAGCTTTTCTTTTTTGGTTTTACACTATTGTTGATCTCATATGCATTTAATGCGTTCATTGAATTGATCAATTCATGTATCTATTTTTAGTAAAATACAGGAAAAATACGTTTTATACGGGAAGTAGAAATTTTTTTCTTTTTAAACGGACTGACATTATTTTGCGTTTTAAACGTGTTTTTTTGTTCAAAAAAACGACACGTGTTTAAAACGAAAAAAAGCTAACTAGGATTGACCGAATGGAAATTAATATTGAATTATTGATAGTTTATTGAAAGTTTTCAGTAATGATTCATATTTAAGTGAAAAATAATTTCATAGTCCATTTTCAATGAGAATTGTGAGTAAATTCCGGGTATTTACAATTAATTCTGTTTCTGTTTTTTTAAAGGGAACTCCGCCATGATATCATTTTTTGGTATCATGCCTGTCCCAAGTCAGGATAAAGGAGGAGGGTGCTGTGGTAGGCGTGTGACGGCCAACAGTATCACTTAGTCACATCACATGACATGAATCGAAATATGAAAATCGCTAATACTAGGTCGTCACCCGTAAGTGACGCGTCATCCCTCCGCCTGGGGGTGGTGTCAAATATGCAAGGGCGCGCTACACTTGATAGACCTGGGTGTGGTGATAAGAATGCTAAGGTTGCTAGGTCGCCGCCCAGAAGCGGCGCGTCATCCCATTGCCCGAGGATGATGTCAAATATGCAAGGGCATGGTGGGGTCCGAGATGGGGCTAAGAACAGAAGGTGGAATGCTAGATTGCGTTTTGGGACATGGAATGTTGGGTCTCTTACAGGGAAATCTTCCGAGGTAGTCGAGGTTATGAGCAGAAGGAATATCAGCATTATGTGTGTGCAAGAAACTAAATGGGTTGG